CAACTCATAATATATCCATAAATAGGAGAGTCTTATATCATCAGTGAAGTTCAAACTCCTAACCTTCAAGTAGATTGTGTTCTTTGTTTTCTGTTTTGCTTTTTTCTCCATCTCTTCATAGAGAATAGCTTCCCCTCCTCCATATTGTAATTTCTTTTTCTACATCTAACAAAGTTCTTTTATTTCTTTTTTTTTTTTTTTGTCTACAGAGTGGAGGCATGAATGTGATTTTCTTGAGCCTCATGCTATCTATTGTCAATAGAAAGTTTTTTTTAATAGGAAGATAGCAAGCTATATTTATGATGTCTTACGTTTGTTAGTGCCTTTGCTGGCTGGTTGCGTAGCATTTGGTCTCTTTTTCATTTTCGTCCTAAATGTTATTTTCGATACACAATAGTCCTTGAACTTTTCAAGTTTTTTCAAAAACAATAACACTGTTGTTTGATAATTCGGTATTAATTTTATTCGTTCACCAGAAACAAATATATAGGAGAGGGTCACAAGAGCAGTGACCCAACAATTTAGGCAAGAATTCTTCTAAGTTGAGTCTCCTAGGAAGGAAAGAAAATTGTACTAATTTTATAGGATCCTAGGATCAAATCCACATCCTCCTTATTTGGCAACTATAATCTAGGACGGTTTTGTTCTATTTCTTCTAATAGATTTTGTGAACCCAAGGCCTCCTTAATCAAGAACCTCTCCATTCTTGGCTGGCCTTGTGTTCACAATTTCTTGGCAATCTTCATGGGTATGTTTTGGTTCAAAACCATGATCTTGCAAAGTTTTGGAGGTAGGTTATGACTCTATAGCTTGATTGTTTTCTCTTGTTCAATCACAAAGTTGGTTGGTCTTCCCTATTTGATGCCAAATCTAGGATTCTTGTTGCTCTCCCTACCCCTGAATGCCAAGTTTTGGGGCATAGTGGTTCCAAAGAATGCCACATCCCTAGAGGTTTAGGACCATCTGTTACTTGCAAATGACATTTGTATTCCTTTTGATTTCGAGTGTATCCAAGATAGAGACATTATACTGATTTAGGCTCAAGTTTACCGCAGTGTTGTGAATGAATATGACAAATGTTGTACACTCAAATATTATTAGTGGAATAGATGAGATAGTTTAGTTATGAGGAACATCATGAATAGCTTTTGTATTGACTTTAGAAAGTTTAGTATGAGGGTATTCTGTTGATAATACCCAAAAACATGAGTTAGTATGACTTTTCCCCAAAAACATGAGTTGTGAATATGAGTGATATGACAACTTCTAGGATGTGACAATTCTTTTTCTCTACAACCTTATTTTGTTCGAGTATACCAATACATGAGCTTCAGTGTGTAATGTCTTGGTTTCTAGATATACTCGAAGACTTTGTTAAAAGTATTCCTTAACATTATCAGTTCTATGAAATTAGATTTCGATCATTGTGTTCAATTTTTGAAATATCTCCTCAACTTTAGATTTTTTTTTTCCGTTAGATATACTCGTGTGAT